CCCCAGCCACAATATTTAAGTGACAAAAACAGTCACTTTTTAAAAAAAATGACCAAACGGTCACTGAATTTTTTTCTTTTTTAATCCCCCCCAACTATAAATACCTCTTCCCCCAAAGATTTTTTTTCATATCAATTGCTACATCAAATCTCCAACTCTCTCAACTCTCTTTTATTATATCAATTATCGAGTTTTTACTCTCTTGTGCTAAAAAATATACAACATCAATTCAATTTTTACAGTTTATTAGTTACAATTTCAATTCATTCAATTCTCAATTCTCACAATCTCACTATATTTATATTCTTCTAGTTAAGATTTTATCATAAACAATCAAACAAATGGATCAACGTTCATTTGTTGAAAACTTGTTCGATACAGGATGTGGGCCACATCATGGCGAATCGCGTAAGATGTCGCAAAGTCAATTTCCAAATAAATTTGCCAGTCTAAATGATCTATCGATAGCTGAAGATGTTCACATTCACGGTCAGGGAAGCCACAATCCAATTGATTTGGATGATATTAACGTTCCCGAAACGGAACATGAGGATGAAGATGCTGAATTAAACATCCTAGATGCGAAGGGAAAGCGAAAGGCCAAAAAACAAGCAAAATGTTGGGATTACTTTAAATTGATTTCAATGGAAAAAGTCGTCGATGACCTTGCAGAATCTAAAATAGTATGTTAATACTGCCAACAAAGATTGGCGTGGCAAAAATGAATTGGTACCACCCATCTCAACCGCCACTACAAAGTATGTGCGGCCAGACATGGATTTCTTCCAACTGGTCAAACACAATTGCAATTTGGCAGTCCAAGCGTCGGTTCTACAACTTCACCCTTATCCACGTGGGTGTACTCGGAAGACAATACTCGAGCCAGAATGGTGAAATTTGTTGTCGCCACTGAGTTGCCTCTGGCTATTGCAGACAACCAACACTTCGTCTCGTTCGTGAAAAAATATCTATAACCGAGGTACGTTAGGGTAAGTCGAAACACTATTCGTGCCGATACAATAAATTATTTCAATAATTCAAAACAACAATTAACTATGAATTTGTAACAATATGGGAGTGTTATATCTTTAACTTCTGATATATGGGAAGGGGTTAATAAAAGAGCATATATAGCTGCAACTGCACACTATATAGACCCACTTTGGTGCATGCATAAGAAAATTATTGCTTTTAGAATTATTGAGTTTCCTCATAATGTTAATAACATATATAATGCTATTATCAATATTGTTAGAGAATATTGTTGCGAGACTAAAATTCGATCTTTTACTTTTGATAATACTAGTATTAATAAGGTAGTCGTCGATAAATTGTGTAGGACACTTCAATCTGATTTTGGTGGGTATTTATTTCATATTCGTTGTGTGTGTCATATCTTGAATTTAATTGTGCAAGATGGTTTAAAACATATAAATGATGAACTTCAAAGGATTAGGAATGCATTAGTATATATTACGATCTGTCCTAATAGAAAACAAGAATTTGAAGATTTTTGTGCCGAACTAGGGGTGACGATTGCTAAAACATTTGTTAGTGACGTAAGCTATAGATGGAACTCTACTTACTTGCTATTAAAATCATGTGAATATTTCGAAAATTTAATAACTGACTTTTATAACAATAAACACGTTAGAAGTGATGATGATTGTATGTTAAATGAATCCGATTGGATTTTAGATTTGAAAGTTAAATGATTTTTGATATCTTTGTATGAGACCACAAAAATTTTATCCGGCGTTTATTATCCCACAAGCTGTATAGTTCTTGAACGCCTTTATATAATTGCAAGAACATTCTATAAATATAAAAATGATTCCGCTTTTAGTAAAATTATAATTGTTATGGAATTAAAGTTTAGAAAATATTGGGAATAACTGTCTATGTTATTTCATTTAGCATGCGCAATGGACCCCCGATATAATATTTTGGGAACTAAATACGTAATTGATCAAATCAATAAAGTTTTAATACTTGATACACCTACCACCTATAAGAATTTAGAGCAAACATTATGTGGAATGTATGATTTATATGCGGAAAGAATGAGTGCGAATGTTAGTCAGGTACCCTCTTTACCTACTCCTTCTGCTGAAATTGAAAAAGATGATATCGAAATAATGAATTTATTTCAAGACATTAATACATTTAGATATGATGTAACTGTAATGTGTTCATTTAGTGCCATGTCGTCTACATTTGCATCTTATCAAATATCGGCCGAAACTCAAAATGCGATGTCTGCCGAATTAATTGATTATTTCAATCATAATATGCCAACAGACAGAACAATTAATTAAAAGTTCAGAAGAAGTAATTGAATTCTGACGAAAATATGAAAGATGTTGGCCAATTATTTCTACAATTGCAAAAGATCTGCTGACACCTTCGGTTAGCACTGTTGCTTCGAAGTCTGTTTTTAGTGCAGGTAAAAGGGTTTTGATCGATGTTAAGAGCCGACTGAAAGAAGATGCTTTGGAAGCGTTAATGTGCGTAAAGGATTGACAGGACGCTCATTTTCGACTACAAGATAAATATGCTGAAATTGTATATCGTCAGGTAAGTAATATTTGATTTAATTATATTAATCATAATTTCTTTATTTTTTAATCGTTAAATTTAATTTTTTTTAAAAATTGTACACGTTACAACAAGTTGTTCGTATACAATTTTTAATTCCGTCTACTTAAAATTAATGTAGCCGGTCCAAGCCCGGATAAAGGTGGAGGGTTTACATTTTATCTACTTTAAAAAGAAATCAAAAAAATATATTTTTTGTAAATGCATTTCAAAAAATAATTCATCTTCATTATATAAATATTTTATACATTATAAAAAGTATTACAATATGATATAAATAAAAAAATAAAAAATTTATTTTCGTTAAATTATTTGTATTTTTTAACACTTTTTATTTTTTTAAAAAGTATTTTCTATTATTTCATTTATTTGTAAAACTCTTAAAAAAAAAATTGCCAAACCAACGAGCTCGTGGGCCGAGCCGAGCTCGTGCAATTAAGGTCCGAGCCGAGGCTCGACCCATTGCCGCCACCAATAAAGCAATTTGTACAAAATTAGATTACAAAAGTTGAGTTACAAAATGTGTTGACAAAATTCAGGCCATCGATTTCAAATGATTTAAAAATTTGTTTTTGAAATGATTTGTGTGGATGTGATTTTATAATCCAACTCTGCCAACCCCTTTGTAAGTATAGCATAACTCGACACCACT